TAACACCTCAGGGCCTGTGTCACACTCACACTGGTGTAGACACGGGCGCATTCAACCTTGTCGACCTAAGATGGACCCCCCGGCGAACGACCCAAGGCCGCGGCTGCCTGGGGCAAGTCTTCGCCAAGAGCAGTCCCTTTCAGACAAGAAGCGAACTGCGAGCGGAGAAACGGATGTGATGTGGCGCCGAGCTCCAGGCACAAGCGTGACTGTGTGCACTGCGCCACTAGCTTAGGCACCACGAAGCCCTTGGCCTACATCGAAGCGAGAGCTGGGACCTGCGAGGTGCCAGACCGTGCAGGAGGAAGGAGGCCGCCTTCTGCGCCAACCATTCCCACGTCGTCGGTTCCTGCCAAGGGCTCAAAAAGGACACACGTCATCATTGCCCGCTCCCACCGCGTTTTCAAGCGCTGCCTGGGGAGGCGAGACCTCCGCTGACTCCTCTCCACGAGGCCACCGGCACAGCACGCCATGCACAGCTCCAAAGGCTGGAACACAGAGCTCTGTCCTTCTTCACACGAAGGCGGGCAACCAAGGCCGGCCAAAACTCAGCCGCCAGGTCCCTCCTAACGCAGCTGTCAAGCCCAAACATCCGACAAGTTCCAGAAGGCATGGTCGCCGATGTCTTGCAAAATGCAGCTTGCGGGTTATGGGGCTTCGAAAGATAGCTCCTTGGCTTTGACAAGGACTATGCTGAGAGGGGGAAAACAAAATTGACCTGTCCCAACCCCTGGCCGTGATGCTTCAGGCAAGTGTGGCAAGGTGCACTTGTCGCGCTCCTGGTCGTTTCGAACCGGAACCTTGCACAAGGCACGGACCGATATAAGCACGGATGCGCCGTCATTCTGCATCCACCTTTCTGGACAAGCACCTTTCGGCATTTCTGGCTCTACATCTGCACCACGCATCAAGGTAGGGGCCGTGCAAGGCCGGTGCCGGCAGGAAAATGGTGAGGAGCGCGGCGATCCCGACCCAGAAGCCTGACGGATCCCGACCCAGAAGCCTGACGGAAAGTACAAAAGCTGCACGAGACCTCCAATCGGCATCCCCTTTAAACTAAGATCACGATTGAATGGCTGTATTTTCTGGACACGATTCATACTTGCAAAACCTGGGATTCCTCCACTCTGCGAAGAGCTACAGGAGACTGGCCTACGGTGCGTCTCCATGAGCCGTCCGCTTGGCAGGCCGCGAGCTGAAACACGGCGCCAGCAAACAGACAATCCTGCGAGCGCTGATGGCCCAAGGCTCCAATGTAAAGACACCCTGCGAACCTTGGACCTTCCGAGAGAGCACAGGGAAGAGCACATGCAAAGCCGGGGTGGTCCGTCCTTGAGCAGATCCACCCTCGGCCCCAGAACGGGAAAGACCTGAGTGCGGCGATCAGGTCCCCGTAGGCTTCTCAAGCATCCGCCTATCGCCACGGTCTGAGGCCGGAGCGCTCATGACGATGGAAATGACAGGGTCTGTGACGCTGATCTGGCGCTTCATCCACGCCGCCTGGATGCTGGGAAGACTCACTGCGACTCCCCTCCGGCCGTGGTCCGGCCCAGGCAGGTCAGGTCGCCTGCACCGCACGGAAAAAGTAGCCCACCACGTCCGTAGCGAGAACGGCCTGAAACTCTGAAAGGCTCAAAACATCTCGCTGGGAGGTGGTCGGCACCGGGCCCCGGGCAATCAACCAGAGCCAAATTATCTCCCACGCCAGCCCTGCCCCGCCCAGCATCAAGTTGTCGGCTTTTGACCAAGAGGTCAGAACCTCTGCAGGGCCAACACCAAGAAGGCAGGACGGGTCGCTGACGAGCCCATCGAGCCCGGTGCCAACAAGAAGAGTATATTGCAGACATAGTAGACCTGAAAGGGAACGGCTTGATGTGCTGCCATCCGGCACGTCCAGGACGAGGCCCGCACAGCAAAAACGGCGGTCTTAAGTGGCCCCAGCTGCATCTCGAATTCTTCCTCCTCCGCCTGGGCCACTTCGCCTGCCGGGAGCGGGAGTAATTGAAGAGGGCACCAAGCGAGAGGCATCCCGCAGTGCCCAGCTCTCCTGCGCCCGCTTCGACGGTTAAAAGACTCGTGTCTTCTGAGCTGTCTTCTTCTTCTTCTGACCTCAGTGAGCTCAAGCCGAACGGTTGCGCCCCTAACAGCAGCCAGAACAAACAAAATTAACAGAACAATTCAGGCCCAAAATCGTCTTGCATCGTAGACGTCCAATTTCTGCTACCTGTGGCCTGTGGCCACCTCTTGGTGCGTGGCCCTGTCTGGCATCCCATGCATGCCAACAAGGACACCACCGCAACTGGCACGGTTGCCGCAACGACGGCCAGACCTCAAGCAGGGCGCACCTCTACCACCCACATTTGACCCTAGCTGCTCTGTGCCTGAACAGAAGCCTCTTACCTTTACAGTCTGCGATAGCTCACTCCGCTTTCACGCACTGCACTCCCAACCAACATGACCCTTCGATGCCAAGTGCTGAAAAGCTGTGAGCCTAGAAATTGTGCAGTACTCGGGGTCCTCTGCTGCCCTCTGCTCGGGCTACGCAAGCCGCATCGCCCACGTATATGTCCGCATCACGCACCCAAAATCCATCCGTAACCACACTGCGAGAGACTGCCAGCTGGAAAAGCCAACACACACGCGCACACACACAGAGAGAAAACACATTGCCAAAGTCATGTTATGCGGTCTTTCGATTATTCCGATGACTGGTGGGCTGACCCTGGCCCAAGCCTGGTGTTGAGGTGCCAATACATCCACTCGGGGTCTTCGGCCTATAGTCCTTCGCCATGCCATGTCACTGTTTGACCTTCTTGCTCTGATGATGGACTATACACGTGTCGCGAGAATTGCAGGCACACAGGTTGGGGGTCAGACCTGGCTTCCCTCTTTGGTGCGTAGCTTCTTTGGGTAGGGAGGCATAGCCCTGCTCGCTGTCACACTGCATGGGCCGCCGTCACTCATGGTACATGTCCACTTGACATCTCACACGCACGCACACACACACACACACACACAGAGCCTCTTGCCGTCCTCGTGATCCGACATGCCCTGAACACGACATGCCCCCTGCAGCCGACAACCTGAGGGCCCGGGCCGATGGTGAAGACGCCAACGACGAGCGCGTCGATGCGACGCGCCGCCAAAGCCGCGTCCTCCGGCATGTCGAGGGCGGTGGGCAGCACCGCCTGCGACGGGCGCACGCTTCGACGGCAGCCACCTCATTGGGAGCACCTCCAAACTGGGCTCCGCGCCTGGGGCTCCTCCAGTGGCTGCCAGCCCGGAAGCGAGCGCATCTGGAGCTCCATGGCCTGGAACCTGGCATGTGCGGAGCGGCCAGAAAAAGCAAGCTTGATCCGGGGAGCAGGGTAGACCCGGGTAGACCAAAAAACTCAGTCGAAAGGAGTTACAGTAACTGCACACCAAAGCTGCACATGGACCTTGATTTGGGCAACAGGTGGTGGACCCTCGCACGGAACTCAATGCAGAAGACAACAAGGCTAAGAGCAGCGTTCTTCTGTCTTAACTTCATGTCGAAAGATGCTTGTCGCGCGAAACCGATGGTGACTGCCATCTCTTTTGCTTAGACTCGGGCCAGAAAACCCGGTGTTTAGCTATGCCACGTACAAAAGCCTCGCAGAAACTCCCGAGCAACTCTGGCCTCGGGCGCAAGGCATCCGGCCTGGGTGGTTTGGTTCAGGGCGCATTGTTGCAGAGTTCTTTATTCCGTCTTCGTAGGCGAACAAGATCATAAGTTCAGATTTGCGCGGCTTAAGCAGCCCTCGAAACGACACGCTGCCCACTAAGTGTCCCATCCGATCCACTTCAAGCTTGAGAAACGAACGCAAGGACCACTTGCTGCTAAATAGTCTCCTGGTCATACCCAATGCCTCTGTCACTGTTGATTCTGACATGGTAGCCTCTGCCTGGGAGCCCCGCTCTGGCAGGGCTCCAGATATCGTCCCGATGAAAGGGATCGGAAGGTCGCCCCCCCTGTAAGCACTGCATGCAGGAGGTAGCTGATCCACACCGCTAGAAGTAGCAAAACAGCAAAACACTCCTGGCTGTACAGGGGCTGAGAACAGAAACAGTCCGTGCATCACCTTCCCTTCCTGTTCGGCTCTACAAAAACGGACACGGGACCGACCACTGGCAACAGGAATGATGATCGTAAGAAGAAGCAAAATCAACATATGCCAAACGCATCGATGCACAACAGCATACGGCCACAAAGAATCATCGCAGAGACGAGGCGAGAGCAATGGCAATCATGCGCACAGCGACTACACCAGCACTGCCACCTCCACCAGCAGCGAGAGCAGCAACAACAGTTGCAGCAGCATCAATAGCACCATCAGTAGCACTATTATCTCATCATCATCATCATCATCATCAACACCACCATCAGCAGCAGCCTCAGTGGCAATAACCAGTGCAGCTGAGACATGAATGCGTCTACTTCGGTCCTCAATAGACAGCGAAGGCAGGGAACACCATTGGAAACGACGGGTCCTTCCAACCTGAGGCCGCAGCAGTCGGGCCGTAGGGCAGGTTCGAACCTTGACGACGGCCAGTTGCCGGCCCTGGCACACGAGGCGAGGGCAGGAGCTTGAGCGGAGGGACTGGCCCTACCACCCCTGCTATCCTCCAATTACTACACCGGCACGGCCGCTCGACTTTGTAAATAGGCTGTCCTCCTCAGCTTTCCCGGTGCATGCTGGCAGCCCTGCCGGTTGTCAGAATCCTCATATTATTCGTCGCTATCACAACCTCCGTAGAACCCTGAGGCCTCAACTCTTTGGGGCTCGGGGTTTAGGCATAGTGAAGAGGTTTATAGGGGCTTGGGATGTTGCTTTAGGTCTCCAGAATCGGACTCCAGGTTTTTTAAAGGCTTCCGCGAATTCAATTCTGTAGTAGGCTCGGGTCTTTCAAGCATCCATTAACCCCGACACCGAAAACACCCAAAACCCTAAACCCCACTCTTTGAAACCACCACATCCCAAAACCGCAATATCCCCGAAGTCAGTCCACACCAAACCCAAAAACCAACAAATCCCGACCATCCTCTCTCGAAGGCCCACCCGGCCCACCCTCGGAGAAGAGGAAACACCCAAAAGACCCCAAACCGTCCCTGAAACCCTTCCATGAACACCCCCTTTGAAGCCCCCATGCCTCGGCCCAAACTGTCAACTAACAAAAGCCCTACTCAGAGATGCCCCGAAACCCTAGGCCCTAAACCCTGCCCAGAAACCCCCCAATTCCTTAACCCCTCCACGCCCCACCTTGCTGGCTTCCAGCACGGAAGCTGCCGGCCTGGGGAGGCTTAAGGTTTAGGGTTTAGGGTACCGGGTTGTTTGGGGTCAGTTGGTGTTTGCGGTGTTGGGGTCTTGGGGGGTGGAGGTTTAGGGATTGGAATTTTGCGGTTGATTGGGGGACTTTGGGCGTACAGGGTTCAGGCTTGAAGCTTGTGGGCGTGTGGCCGTGAGCTGTCTGTGCGGTTCCTTTATCTTGTGGCCGGGCAACGAAGATCTTTGATTAAGGATTCGTCGTACGGGCTTGGTCTGGTTTAGGGCTTAGACAAGGCTCAGGATTTAGGGCTTAAAGGGTTTTGGGTTTAAGGTTTAGGGCTCAGGTTTTGTCTTGACACCTTTTTTTCTTACCGCATCTGGTCGGGAACACCGTGCTGGTGGAGGCAGTAGCAGGGAGAGCAATCAACGGCAGGGGGATTCGACCACCTACACCACTAATGCTTACATGTCCTATTTTTCGTTAAGGACGGGGTGAACGAAGCCTGAAGAGGCAAAGCTCCCGAAACCCTGATGCGCCCCAACAAGCCCTGGTAAACCCTAAACCCAAGTAGATCCGATTGAACTCTAACAAGCCCTACCAGGCCCTCAATCCTAGACCTTAAACCCCTAAACCCCAAACCCCTATAGACCCTAGACCCGAAACCCGAAGCCCAAAACCCCAAAACCGTAGCAAACCCGCAAAGGTCCCTGGCTCAGCTGCGACGAGGCCAGCCAACATCGGGAGGAGAGCCTTGGGAAAGGGCTCCGCTACGGACTCCACTAAGGGGTTTGGGGCTTATAGGGTTTGGGTTTTTGGCTTCGGGTTTAAGTTCTTGGGTTTAGGGTTTAGGGTATGGCGTTCTGCAAAGGGTCTAGAGGACTTTGCGGTTTCAGGAGTCCGGGCTTTGTGTGTTTCGCGGTTTGTGAGGTTGAGGGCTTTGAGAGGTTTAAGGTTTTAGGTCTCCGGGCCTTCTGGGTTTCGGCGCTAAGGGTTAGGCTTTCGAACATAGGGGACCCCAATATAGCACCCTAAACAGCAGGATCCCTGATGATAAGGACCCAAAATAAGGGACGCTAGTTTTTTTTGGGGTTTTGGAGGGGGCGACGGGCTGCGGATTCGGAGATGTTCGGGGCTTCGCAGCTCGGAGCTTCGGGTCGTAGGGTCACAGGTTGAGGCTTTAGGGTTTAGGGTTTAGGGTCCAGGGTTTAGGGTTGAGGGTTTAAGGTTTAGGGTTGAGGGCTTATAGGGCTTGGGGTTGAGGGCTTAGGCGGGTGCGAAGAGAAGTTCCTTTGATGGCGCTTTCATGGCAAGCGTTCTTATATTGACGGGTATCGAGTAGACGCATGAACACATAAACTGCAAACCCGTAGACCGACCCTAAAGCCCAGCACCCCAAAGCTCTTAAAGCTTCAGACCCCTCCCTCAACCCTGTTCACCCTAAACCCCTATAAATCCCAATGAACCCCTATGAACCTCTATGAGGCCTTATAAACCCCTATATACCCCGATATTCCCTCTAATAACCCCTAAGCCCCTGTTAACCCTAAACCCTAAACCCTAAACTAACCCCTAAACTTTAAACCCTAAACCCTAGACTCTAGACCCCAAAGCCCTAAACCCCAAACCCACCAACATGCGCTCTCCGGACCCTGCCAGAATGAGAGTCTCGGCCCGGCGACGACGAGTTTCTCGAGTTTCGGCACGAAAGGGCCAAGGTTTCTTAAGGGGTTCAGGGTTTAAGGGTTCTTCTTCAGGGGTTGAGGGGTTTAGGGCTTAGGGTTCAGGGATTGAGGGTTCGTAAGGGGTTGCAGGAGTCTTGAACAGTTTAGGGTTGAAGGATGCTTTAGAAGGGGCTTTAGCGACAGAGGGTTGAGGTTTGGTTTTAGGGAGAGTTGACGAAGAAAGAGCACGGTTGAGGGGCTCAAGATTGAAGGATGCTTACCAAGGGCTTCTCAGTATTCATTGGGGACTTCGGAAGATCCTCTCAGGCCCGAGGCCCCTGCGAAGGCAGCCATCAGGAGATCTGGGGCAGCGTTCAAACTGGGCGCGAAGAGCTCGAGCGAAGAAACGGCTGCACCCGTCAGAGCACAGACTGAGCCTTTCAAACGACTGCTTCTTGTTCTTGCATACTTCGATTTCGGATGATTTCGGGTCTTCGAAAGCCCAATGTTCGCAGAGATTTTGCATAAAGAGAGTTTGATTTCCTTACTAAGTACTACCTACTAATGCTACTAAGGCCCCCCCCCTCTTTGTTGCAAGTGCGACGAGGACCAGCCAATGAGTCGCTGCTTCTCTTCGTGGCCGAGCCGCATCTTGTGTGCGAATTCGGGAGTGCAGGGTTCAGAGGGTAGACGGTTTGAGGTTTTAGGGCTTAGTGCCATTTAGTGCCTATTAATGTCTGGATCCGCGGTTCCTGCTATCCGAACTGCTGCCGTCGGGATCCGAAGAGGCTCCCGCGGGTGCAGTGCTGGTCTTCAGACTGGCCAGCATTGCCTCAGGCAAGCTCCTGAATTCCACGGAACTGGGTACTGCAAGAGCCGTTTAAAGTTTAAGTCTCACTTCACCCCCAAACCCAGCCTGTAGGCTGCAAGAGTCAGCCTACACAAACACACAGACAGGTGGCCTACCCTCTGAAAACGGCTCCTTTCCTTTGATACCCGTTCCATGCCGTTCCTGAACTTCGCTGCAAGTTGCACAGGGCAGAGATGAATGCAGATGCACCACATTGAAAATATTGAAGCAAATGGAGTCCAAGGATGTTGAAGATGAGAGTTTCCAGCGGCGCGAGGTGCTGCAAGCCGCACTAAGATCGAGGAGTTGCAGATGCCGCTCTGGGGACTTTGCGGACTTGATCCTGCGGAGAGCTCTCCGAATCTTAACCCCTTGAATAAAATCCGCATTGTAGCCCGAGGCCTGGGCTGGTCAGGGTTCATTGATATTCAGGATCAGTGTTCTGGGCGTGGGACGTAAGGTACAGCAAAACCCTGGCAAACTATAATATTCATAAGAAGATTAAAGTTGAACAATAACACTTATTTATTGCTGTTATTACCATCATAATTAATCCCAAGACCTTGAACCCTTAAAGCCCTCAACACCAAGCATTCCTAGACAGGGCACTTCGCTTCTTTCCGCCTCTTGGAGGCGCCGGGGTGCAGGCTTTGGGATTTATAGGGATTCGGATTTAGGTTTTTTTTTTTTGAGGGCCTTTTTCCGTCCTGCATTTAGGGGGTTTAGGGTTTAGGCTTTGGGATTTATAGGGATTCGGGTTAAGGGCCGGCTACTAAGAGCTAGATGGCATCATACTCTTCGCAACAGCAGCGGTTGATGACTGGCGGTCGTAGGCGAAGAAGAATGATGAAGAAGAGGAAGAGGAGTAGTAAGAATAGTGGC